TTTCTCTCTCTCTGTCTCTCTCTCTCTTTCTCATTCTCTCTTTCTCTCTTTCTTTCTCTTTTTCTCTTTCTCCTCTCTTTCTCTCTTTAGTTCTTAAATAATTGCAATGTTTCGTTTTTATATCGATGCCTAACCCAATCAGGCTATATAATTAATTTCATTATTATCTTCTCAACTAAATAAACAAAATGAAACAAAACCAGAGCTTCGATAGATAACATCAAACCTGTCTGGTGCAGCTTGGTCATGGTTATATTGCCCTTTGGCTGCAGCGGCAGGCTTAGAGTAGCCACTGGTAGTTGACAAATCCTTCATCCCGTGCACTGACATCCGGTTCATGACCACTGTGACCACATTTCAAAGCCGCGAGGGCCCCAAGACCTTATCATTTGTCAATATCAATTCCCACCCAGCTCCACGACGCGTGGGGAGAGATGCAGCTGTCCCGTACTTTGAGCTTTCCTTGTCTTTTTAATCTTTATCAGAATTCAAGTGTTGGGACACGCCAGACAGTTTCATGTTTTCACTTTTTTTCGACAACTACCTTCGTTCTACGTGTTCTCCTTTTTTTATATTTTTAGTTCGCAGTACGTTCTACGTCACTTTGCATACAGTATTGATTTCATGGTTGTTGTTTGTTTTTTCTTAAATTTGAAAACGTGTAAGAATTAATGTTTAAATAGTACTGTATTGTAATGGTATATGCATTGGGCAGAGTGTACACGAAAATTCTAAATGAAGGCTTATTAACGCTGAATTATCTTTTTGAGTTATGTCTCAAATTCAAATCAAAACTGTCTTAAGAATAAGCAAGAATTGTTCGAAAGAGTTCGGAAAGAGTAATATCAGATGGCGGCAGTGCCAAACTAAAAACGAAATTTTTTTAATGGTGTGAAGATCTTTATTTAAATTTAAAAGAAAAGTTGGCTCATAGGGAGGTCTATTTTGTTGGTGTTAAGATTCTGTACATAAGTATGTTGGTGGTTAGTGCGCTCTTTTTTTAATTCTGTTTTCAATATGTCCTAGATCTAGTACATTGGCTGGCGAAGGAAATATCACAGATATTGTACCGAACTCGCCACAACGTAAAAAACTACAACTACAGATACGTGTGTATAGCTTCTCTCTCTCTCTCTCTCTCC